AACCCCCATGATTGTCTTTACATTCCTGGAATATAAATTTTCCATAATTTACACCATTTCCTTCAACCGCATTAGTTCTCTTATAATTGAAATGGTTTTAGTTTCTGCATAATTTAAATCATTTAATTTTAATTTCATGGGGTTTTTCACTTCTTATTTTTATGACCGGTCAAATTTTCATTTAAGATGTTGGCTACTCTGACAAGTTAGTCACAGTCTTACAAGTTTAGCTTTAAATGTATTATTGCTTTTAAGTTAGTTGTTATTATTTAATCTGTCAGCTGAGTCTGCTGCATGCATTATCATTATTTAATCTGTCAGCTGAGTCTGCTCCATGCACATTAATTATTTTATTTGAATTTGTGTGTTTGGTAAGACACGAAGCAACACAAAAGGGAAAATAAAACCACTTTATTTCTTATAAGGAGCTACTAGATGTCGACAAACATGTAGGGACTTCAAGCAGAGTGTGGTATCAGACTTTTTTAAAGAAGTAAAAATATTGCTTATTCTCTGCAAAAAATTTTAGTGTTAATTTGTATAATGATCTGTTTTCTAAAAATATTGCTTATTCTCTGCAAAAATTTTTAGTGTTAATTTGTGTAATGATCTGTTTTTTTTTAGTTTCTGAGAATTATATGTTGTGAACCCTTCATAATTTACCTACATTGTTTTCTGAGCATTTCAATAAATACTTAAGGTGAGGATAAGTACTGTGCTTACAATTTGCATTTCCTTCAGGTCGTACCTTCCTGTAATTTTCACCATTTTCTTCACTTTCCAAAAAAGAGTGAATTATGGGGTCCACTGCAATGTAATAATATAATCATAAATACTCCCTCCTCTTACCCTCCTCCTCCTCCTCATCCTGCCAAGCATTATGCTTGATTGGCTCTTATGAAAAGTGGCCAGTAGATGTGGGCTTTGCGTGTGAGACAGCAGTGTATATAGTCTCTGGCATAGGAGCAGGTGAATGTGAATGGTTGCTTGGTGTACTTTCCAAGGCCATACCCAATCGGCTGGCCTGAAGTTCTGTGTGGAAGGAGGAAAATAGAATGTGAGTCGAGTTTACTAAATCTATCCGTCTCGCCAGTTTCTGTTCTCTGGGTGTGTGATTATTTTGGTAAATTTTCTGATGATTCAGTCATGATATTTGTGAACATTTCTGCTATCTTTGTGTTGAATTTTGTGTTGTGGTTTTCCAGAACTTGAAAGCTCAGTCTGTCCGCTGCTCAGTGATATCTTTAGCAGCAGAAGTTCATGTTTGCCACAAGCTGTGTCGCGAGACAGGAGGTCTGTTCGGAGTGATACTTGATGACTGTCACTTTCGGGATCAGCTCTTCCAGCACATTGATCCCCCGCCAGCCGCCACGTTACTCGACTCGTCTCTGATCAAGATGGGGTTTCCCCACCACATGATGCACGAAGGAAAGGAGACACCACTCACTTTGTGCATGTGGTAAGCTTGTCACTCCGTTGCTATCACAGTGATGAGCTTGAGTAGTTGGAGATGTTTGGTTGGCAGGTACTGGGTTATTTTATGGTGCTGTACCAATTACTAAGGCTATGTACTCTCAGGCAATGAATGAAAAGGTGGTTATGAATGACTGGGATAAAAGAGGAAGTGTTCATAGGCTTTTCTAACATACTGTCCTGGCATTTGTCTGGAGGGTTTGACAAAATCCACTAATAACATCGGTCATGGTAATCGGCCTCTTTCTGGGATTCGGCTTGGTATCTTCTCAGTGTATGGAGGGTAATTTGAAGTGACAGCAGCGAAGTTTTGGATGCTTATGCACATTTACTATCTTATGCCCTCGTAAACCAGCCATCTTCAGTGGGTTGGAGTATAAAGTATTCAGTTACTTAAAGTGTGAAGCTGATGCCATTTATGTATGTGTGTGTGTAAATGTGTTTTTTTCTCTCTCTGTGACACCTGCCTTTGTATGTGTCGGTTACTTAAGTCAGAGGGAAGGCTGAAGAATTTAAAAGTAAAGCAGTCCGTGGTACACACTATAAAAGTGTTTTGGTGGGGTGTGTGTGTTTGTGTGTGGATGAGGTATAACTTCTACTCATTCTCAACTTCAGTACAGGATGGAGATGAGTGGTCATTGTCCCACCCTTGCTGCATTTTACCCCTGGTACACATTGGGTAGGAGGCAGGTTGGGCCCCAGAGCCAGTCTGGCTGCAGAGGCTAGAAGAAAAATCCTTTGATCTTGGTGGGGATTGAACCCTATTTGTCCAGTCTGAAATCAGCAAACAGGCAATTGTACATAGGTGATGAGCACAGAATTTAGAATTGATTACCAGTTTATAATTTGATTCAGAAAGTAACAGCTTGTGAGTAGGAGATTTGAAGGTATTTAGCAAGTGCTCCAAGGGAAGGGGACATTTTTGTTTGAAAAGAGATCGCAGATGGGAATAACAGGAGCTCATGCTAGAATTTTTAAGTGTTTGAGGGTTTGCTTGTTGCATAGTATTGAAGGTCCCATCTGATGAAGATCAAAACTTTATAATGTAGTGATTTGGATTTTTGAATCTCCAGGTTCATTCCCTAAGTTCAACTATCAGGACTAATTTTTTGTGATATTTCTCATGCCATCCAGACAAATGTCTTAAAAATGGGACACATCTTATACATGTCTTCCTAATCCATATCAGATCAGATAAACCTGTATAGTATGTTTTTGTGATGTTTCAGCCATGTGGATTCATCAGACGTAGAAGGCAGTAGGTTGAATAGTGGAGGGTATTTCTGTCCCCAGTGCTGCAGCAAATATTGTGAACTTCCTGTGGAGTGCAAGTCTTGTGGATTGACATTAGTGTCTGCACCACATTTAGCCAGATCCTATCACCATTTGTTTCCAGTTGAAAATTTTAAGGAACTGGAATTTAAAGATATGCAGGACAAGATTGAGTTGTGTTTCGCATGTCAGAAAAGATTTGGAGAACACGATAAGCACGTACGTACGTTTCAGTATACCGTATTTACTCGTCTGATTCGCACTGTCATATAAGTCATGCACCCTCTGTTTATTTAACACATAAAAGATTTCATCAATAATAAATATGATCACCAAAATTGCTGATTCTTGATGTTTGGTCATGCAGATAAAGTTGAGTAATCTGGCATTTACTGGTAAGTAGAAGCTACCAGTATCTGTTTCTGCCATGAGTTGAGAAGCGTGGGATTTGTCACCAGCAGCAAACATAGAGTTCAGCTACATGTGATAATGGTGCATAAGTTGGTAAAATGGTTTTGGCTGAATACAAGGTTGTGGTTCTTATGTTTGGTAACATACTTTGAGCAGTTATAAACTATGAATAAATGTTCACGTCATGCAGCACGTTCTTAACTCACATAATTGAATACACTGAGAAATACAGGTCAGTCAGAAGTATGTTTACAAACTTTGTGTGCCTGTTCCAGGATCAAAAATAAGAAAAAATGTTTCTATGAAAATTGGGTCTAAAATGTTTCATTTACGAAATAATAGCCGAAAAGAAGTTTCAATGAATCGACTTTATATCAAAGTGTAAAATGTATTTGTAAACTTGGTAGTCTATTCACAGATAATTGGGAGCATATTGTACCCTTATGTAATATCTCAACATAATTTCTGGCTTAAAATTATGATACATCAATGTGCACACAGTACTGTCATGTTGGCACAACTGTGGAGAAGGATGTGTCTTGCAGGCGCAGTTATCCGATCTTCTGTGTCAACATTGAACATAACCTTCATCTGCTTATTTTTCAGGTTTATGAATGTGGGACATGCAGCAATATATTTTGCTTAGACTGTGATCTGTTTATTCATGACTTACTGCACACATGCCCTGGATGCGCTACAAATCATTCAACCTTCCAGACAGTGGGAAATGAAACTATGCCTCCAAGATAGTCATGAGTTTCAAAGACTCACATGTGACGACATTCTACTACGTCGGTTATCTGCAGGTGCTGTTTCGAGCAGTGTCTATCTGTCAGATACCTAACATAAGGGTCTATGAAACTTCAAAACAAGTGGGAGCAGAATATTCTCATCATCTACATTAATAGAGAGCAGAACTGGAGCAGTTAACTAGAAATAGTGAATGCTCTGGAAAATATTATTATTGTATAATTTTCTGTCGAGTTGTATGTAGTACTTTCTTTTTATATGGTGGTTTTGAGTCTAGGAAATTTCACATTATGAGAAGAAAATGTTTTCTTGTTCCATATTATTTCCATAGAATTTTTTTGTGCGGTTGACTTATATTCTGAAATCAATTCTCTTTCTTTTTATTTTTGTCTGTTTCGATTGTCTGCTTTTGATTGTAAATATCTTATGATGATGGGCTGTACAGTCAGTTTCAAACTACTGTTACTACTACTACTTGCTGTTGCTGAACCTCACGGTCTACCGAGCAGCTTTGTCGCACTTTGCTCTGAAGCAGTAACGAGCAAGTTTTGAAGGATTGAGAGGGTAAGAACGTGATACTGATGAGGAAGAAGTGTGCAGTGACTGAGGGTCATGACACCATCTTAAGGGGTGTGAAATGGCCAGAGTACAGACAGAACAGAAGATTTTAGCACTATTCAAGCAGTCATTTCTTGATATTAGGTGACTATTATGTCGAACAGTACCGTAGTTAATGTGTACATTGGATATCTGCTCGTGTTTGGAGGGCTCGGAATAATGTTTGCATAAGAAGTGCCCTGCTGGTTAAGAATGGAGTTGAACATGAAGATGGCTGTCTTCTGGCATGTTGCACCATGTAGTCTGGTAGATATTGGCTTAGAGAAGCTTACTGCCTGCATATGATGGAAATTTGAGATTGCCATCTTCATACTCATGAGAATCTTAAATCTCACAAAGTTGAATAATGTGGGGACCATTGATTCCACTTGCTTTAGTAACACAGTGTGTATGAGGTAATGCAAGGAAGCACTGTTAGTTGCTGCAAGGAGATTTTACTTCCAAACCTTGAATAGTCACGAAATAGTGAAATACTTTTTTCGCAATGATTTGTTGAGATTTATTATTTGTGTCTTTGCACCCTGTCCATGTCTGTCACATTTTTGAGCAACAATTGGGCTGTGGGAACACATCGTAGTACAAAAACTGAAGCGATATCATTGGTGAAAGGCACTGTGCAATGATGACCTCAGATTAATGCAGTAGTGACTGATGTGGTATGAAGTACTCTTTTGGAATGTCATTGTACTCCAATCTTGTTTCGGTGATGGTACCGTATTCTGACTGCAGTGTCTGAAAACCTGGCAAACCTGCCTCTGGTACAATGAAGTTACCTGGAAGTCATTTCACTTTGTATCCACAGCACAATATCATTCACAAGATAAGTACAGGCATACCTCGCTTTATTGCGCTTCGCAGATATTGCGTTTTTTTTTTATAAATTGAAGGTTTGTGGCAATCCTGCATCGAGCAAGTCTATCAGCGACATTTTTCCAACAGCATGTGCTCACTTCATGTGTCTGTGTCACATTTTGGTAATTCTCGCAATGTTCTCGCATTGTTTTTTTAGACATAATGCTGTTGCACACTTAATAGACTACAGCATAGTGTAAACATAACTTTTATATGCACTGGGAAACCAAAAAATTCATGTGACTCGCTTTATTGCAGTGGTCTGGAACCGAACCCACAATATCTCCAAGGTATGCCTGTATGTATAATTCATGTTTTAGTAGTTTTTTTTAAATTTTTTCCATGGAAAGGCTATTTCATTTTGACACTGTATCAGATCTTTTGAAGTATTTATCAATGCACAATTTGTAATGAGAGGCTGTAAATATAGCATGGTCCAGAATGTTTTCATAAGTATGCATCTGAGTTACCAGTGTGTTGCACTTTCTTATTTACCCCTGTATTACAGCTGTAACTAAAAGGCAACCATTCCATTGGTTTACCAATCCAACTCCTCTCCAACCCTGAAAAATTTGACTGTGAAAGTAAAGTAAAGCTGTCCTGATAAATGCCATGAAGCTGCTTCAGGGGAGAGGAATAGTAGTTCCTTGTTCTTAACCTCAGCACTAGATGGGGGTGAGTGGTCAGCATCACGCCCTGGCTGCGCTTTACCACCAGCAAAGGACCCCAATACCTATTGGATAGGAGGCTGAGTGGGCCCCGGAGCTTGTCTGGATGCAGAGACTAGAGGAAAAATCCTCTGCCCCTGTCGGGGTTTGAACCTCGGTTGTCTAGTCCATGGTCAGTTACTATGCTGACTGAGCCGCCCTGACTCAAAAACTTGTATGGCCAAGTGCTGTTCTGTTTCATGTCAGTTATATTTAATGTGAATCTCATTTGGAGATGGGTTATGCTGGTAGATGGTTTTCATCCTGTGTTTCTCTTGGAAGGTGACATGATTGTATTTTTAAGAAAGCCACGATCAGTTTGTCTCCATTCTTTCCAGGTTACTGTACATGGTTACCCTCTAATGTCATTAGAAGATAAATATGCTATGCAATTGATATAGTCATCGAATAACTTATGACCTAAATAATACCAGGCACGTTAGAATTGACAAAAAACAATTCATCACTATCCAGTTCACAAACAAATTTGAATCAATGAGCAAGATCATGGTTCCATGAAGTAGACTAAAGTTTGGTTATTGTGTCTTGTATGCATATAGATTTTATATTTTGTAGTTGAATATTAAAGTACCTTAGAAGTGATTTTTTTATGTGACTGGTAAACTAAATAAATATGCATTGATCTCTGATTATCATGAGTACCATTGGCACTATAATTTTAGTAGTGATTATGGCTTCAAATATATTATCATGCTGATACTTGGCTTCATCTCTACAGAGCCGTCAGTTCATATAGAGATACTTGCAGAGTTGAGTTACCACAGGGGCAAAGTGCCAAACGTTAGGGAAATTAGTTATTGCATAATAAAGATGTGTGTAATATTCTACATGGGGGAGATCTTACATAATTGGCTGACTGTTGCTCTAATAGTCTACTAATGGGTGCTCCCCTCCCTACTTGGGGAATATAGCATTCATGACATTTGTTGAAATGAATTGCAGGAGGATATATCTAATGGGAAATGATCACGAAGGGTGGTTTGGTAAGGATTTCAAAGCGGCTGGTGGTGACCTGTGTAAAGTTATACATGTCAGGATAGCCAATAGTATGGTCCAGGTACAAACTGGGTATGTCTGCGTAAACACAAAGGAACTAGCCACATCGCACAGCTAAAATGCTTTCCTTGTTTCGCGAAAAAGAATGGGCTTAGGGGAAACTGGACTAAAATTATGTACGTGGCTAAAATTATATCACCTGTTTTCTTTAATTAAATTATTTTAAACTTAACGCCTTTAGGTTGGTCGAATTGGTACTCAACTTTAGTGCAAGATGGTGTGTTGATAGTGCGCGGTTTTCAAGCTTTGTGTGCAAAACTATGTTTTCTGACGTTTTTTTTACGGTTTCACTGTCACAGGTTATCAACATTGGCAGCCTAAGATTGGAGAGTAGTTTACTGAAACAAATATATGGTGAAGGCTTTGGAAGTAAGTCATAATTGATATTAATTGCTTCGATCAGAGTTTCTTGTGTTTTTTTTTTTACATTATAGTTGGGGAAATAAGGGCAGCCAACCTTGGGTTAAGTGTCATACCAGATTTGTGTGTGAACTCTATACACAGGCTTAATACTACAGAGTATTTTCCTTTCTTAGTAGATATGTTTACTTGTTAATCCTCGATTTAGTGCTTTCAAACTTTTTGGTAGAGAAGTTAAATTTTCCTGTGTTTTGAATTCGATTGCTTGTATGTGTTTCTCTGATGTTAATAACAGGAAGGTGATGCTCTTGCTGAATAAAATTTGTTTTCTGTGTGGCTAGTCTGTTCCTAAATTGTTGTTAATCATGATACAATTACATGCTACGTAAAATTTTTTTGGTAAACATAATAGTTGTCCATGAGAAGAATGTATGTCACTTTGCCTAGGATCTTGGTTAAAAACAACAACAAACTGTGTACATATTGATAATATTTTTGTTTAAAATGTTCATAGGCAAGCTAGTTGCGCATATATCAAACATTTTTTCATACTTCATACCTGACAGAATGCATGCAGTTATACATTCAGAGGTCAATGTTAAAGTGTTAGATCGATTTATATTTACGGTATGTCATTTTAAGTTAGTCTCCCCCCAAAATGTTCACTTTTGAACCATTTGACAGCTGGGGTACCTCAGTCAGTATGGTGACTGATCACTGACTAGACGACCGAGGTTCTAACCTCAACAGAGGCAGAGGATTTTTCCGGTAACCTTTGCATCCAGACAGGCTCTGAGGCCTACCCAACCTTCTCTACAGTGGGTTTTATTTAGTGTTCTGTCTGATGACAGGTCCATATGAACAGGATCCTTGCATCCTTTTCTCGGACTGGGACCTGTTCATATACGTTCTTGGCAGATGATCCAGAAGTGGTTTGCCATTGCCTTCTTCTGTGTGTGAATGGAGTAATTGTTGGGATGCCACGGAGGAAAACTCCGTGTTGCCTAGACCACGGCCTTGCTCAACAGAAGTTATAAATTCGGGTACCGGGGTTATTTCCGGGGGGCAAAGCACAGCCGGGGTGTGACTCTGACCATTCACCCCCATCTAGTGCCGCCGTTAAGAATTAGTACTAGCGATGTTACCTCTCCCCTCAAGTGCCTACATTTCTTATAGCGGGACGGATTTGCTTTCATTTTAATATACAGTTTTATAATTATTTATGGACATCGAGGAGGAAATCCTTAGTGCAATGACACAGAAGCAGAGAACTGAACCTGACGATGGCCTCATTGGTTCGAAACGTGTTTTTCGAGCGAGAACAGAATTCAACGTCAGTAAAATTGTAATTTGTTCCCATTATGCCTCAAATTATGTCGTGCGTGGCATCTGTTGTTCAGTTGTGTCAAGAAGCAGAATGAATACTTTCTAATGCAGGTAGCCAATGGTTTTGTTATTGATACGTCATAATGTAGGACGTCCACTGAGTCACGTGGTACAGGTTGGTTGCGCGACCAATTTAGCACACTTGTTCGCTACTGGCGGGCTGGTGGTCGGACGTGAGCGAAATTTTGGCGGGGGCATTTCAGAAACGTGTTTTCATGCTGTGTGTTACATCAAGCATCTGCTACTGAATATTTGGAAGGTATGTGTGTGCATCTTTACTCGTCGACGCTGTCAATTGGATTATTTTCAAATAACTTGTGATACTTCTAGGCAGACATTGTTCATGCTGTTAGCAGCATTGCTAGAATAAACCCTCGCTGTCGTATACGAAATGTAACTCGTTGAGTGTATTCGAGCGGGTTCGATGAAGTCTTCGGGGTTGACTGAGACAGAGAAAAGCCATTCTCATGCAGCTGACCGCCCGACAAAGACATTATTGCATTTCGTCGCCGTGTAGACCTCAATTCGTGCGGAGACAAAGGATTAATAATCCTGAAACAGTTTCGGTGCTTCAAGTTCTTCGGGGGTAATTTTCTCTGTGTTAATTATAATTAACATCGTTCCGTTTCATCGCTAGAAACCTTGCACATGTTGGAAAGTTTTTAATGCTTAAAATGACTCGACGTAAATTAGATCTGATTCGGGAATGTGACATTTCTTTTTAGCATTTATTTACAACAGCGTTCAAATACCATAGAAGCCTGTGGTGTACGATGGGATTAAATTTGGGACAGTCTGTGGAATTTCAGCTCTGAAATAATTTGTTTTTACTAAGACCATCTACAGAGTAAGTATAAGCAGATTTAGAATTCTAGGTTTTCCGGATTGTACCCAAACCTTATAACCTTTTTCTCTCTTTGATCTATCTTAATGTTATCCTCTCAGCTCTTCTGTCTTGCAAGTAAGTGTTTTAATGATCTATCTTAATGTTATCCTCTCAGCTGTTCTGTCTTGCAAGTGAGTGTTTTAAGAGGTTTCCTACTAAAACACTGTAAGCATTTCTGGTTTCTCCTTCATCTTCGCCATATTCCCAGCCCGTTGTAGCCCCTTGAATTTCATTATCTCAATAATATCAGACGATCCTCCTCGTTACGTCATATTCTAAATCGCCCAATTAAGTCTGATTCACATCTATGAAAAAGATAACAGAATTATTCTTCACAAATTCTTTAGTGTTTTGGTCACAGATTTATGAGCTGATTAATACAGAGTTTATTATTTATTATAATTTTTTTATCGTGAACACCACGAGGCCTGTGGAATCTTGTACCCCACAGATGAGTGATTTAATCAGTGTATTTGTGGCTGCTTTAATGTAAATGTAGATTTTGCGCGAAGATCCGTGAATTCTAAGCTATTAGACGTGTGCTTACCAATTAATGATATGTAGACAGATACAACTCGGTCCTCGTGGGATGCAGGCCTACGCTTAATCCCAAAGCGTGATTCTACGTCTGTGAAAATGCAGGAACTGACGAAATGACGTCACAGTGACAGGTTTCATTACCAACCGTTACACTGTCTCACTAGCTGAGAACGTTCGTGAATTTCTTATCGACAATGTCAAGGAAATTTTTAGGGCAACGCCTTGAAACTCGCCTTTATGAATCATCCTGTCGTTCGACGTTAATTGTCGTACTCCAGTAACTGAAACGAAGTATCTATATAACCTATGAAGTGGAATGCCATTTCTGTAGGACAATTTTAAACCGCGTTAGCCTAAGAATGTTCTCAGAACATTCACAGCGCTGCCTGACAGCTTTTTAACCTTCTAATGCCCAAACAAACAGATGGCTTACGGAACCCGAAGGTTCATCACCGAATTAACCAAAGCCCTCCACCGGTCCCTGTCCTGGGCCAACAAAATCCAGTCTCCTTCAACTTCTATCTCCCATAGATCCCGCCTGAGATTATCCTCCCATCTACGTCTAGGTCTCCCCAGCGGTCTCTTCCCCTCAGGCTTCCCAACCAATACCCAGTGCACACCTCTTGTCCCATCCATTCGGTCTACATGCCCCGCCCATCTCATTCTTCACGACTTAATCACCCTGACAATACTGGGGGAGCAGTACAGATTTTTAAGCTCATCATTATGCAGTTTTCTCCATGCCCCATCGTTTTCTCTCTTAGGTCCAAATATCCTCCTCAACACCCTATTCTCAAACACCTGCAATCTGTGTTCCTCCCTCTGAGTGAGAGACCATGTTTCGCACCCATACAAAACAACAGACAAGATTATTGTTTTGTATGTTTTAATCTTCAGGTTTTTAGAAATCAGGCGGGAAGACAAAATATTTTGGACTGAGAAGTAGCAAGCATTTCCAGAATTTAGTCTCCTCCTAACTTCCTCGTGAGTGTCATTTTTGTTTTTAATCCATTTCAATTGAATTTTTTTTTTTAAATTATTAAACACAATTTGAGGTTCTCACGGCTTTGAACACGAACATAGTTTTGCTGTCTTCTGTATTGTGGCGTCGCGTAGTATAGTAGAAGTTTACCGACGTTTCAGAGGTCCTTGCTGCCTCCAACAGCAAATACCTCTGAAACGTCGATAATTGTCTACCAGACCACACGCGTTGCTGTTTTGTCTTTATGTGGATATTAAAAGCATTTTTTGGTTGGAAGGCGCGTGTTGAGGGGAATCTTCACACCCTCCTGGGCGCTGGAAGGTTTAGATGGTCACACGCTTAGACACGAGGATAATATTAAAATGGATCTTTGGTAAACGTGTTAAGGAGATGCAGATGATTCGTGCATAAATTTCAGTAGGTCACGTGATGTTTCGACTCTCATTTGTTTCACCTAAAGAGAAGTAAACTTTGCCAGTTTCTTGTGATTTCCTTAAACCTTCAGTAAAGAAAGCAGTTGATTTGCGATCTGGCTTAGTGTTTGTGGAACTGCAGCAGAGACCCGCGTGATATTTAGACAAACTCAAGAGAGTCTGTTTACTTTTTCGTGTCGTCGTGAATTCTTAGTAGGCCTATTTGGCGGTCCTTGACTAAAGTTTGTTTGTGTTACGAATTATCTTATCGATTTTGCAAAGTCTACCTCATTGGTCGTCATGTACACTTTGCAAACATACATTTTATATTGCCGCCTGTTGCAAGACTAAATTCAGTTTGAGCATCGCGTAAAGGTGGGACGATACGAGGAAGGTGTTAGCAATTTGCAATTTCGGAATTATTTATATTTTATTTAGTGTTCTGTCTGACGACAGGTCCATATGAACAGGATCCTTCCATCCTTTTCTCGGACTGGGACCTGTTCATATACGTTCTTGGCAGATGATCCAGAAGTGGTTTGCCATTGCCTTCTTCTGTGTGTGAATGGAGTAATTGTTGGGATGCCACGGAGGAAAACTCCGTGTTGCCTAGACCACGGCCTTGCCCAACACAAGTTATAAATTCGGGCACCGCCGGGAATCGAACCCGAGACCCCAGGATTACAAGGCCAGCGTTCTAACCGCTAGACCACCGTGGAGTTTATTTTCTGTGAGAGTTAGCAATCAGAGGCTCGTGATATTATCGAATTTAATGTTGAAGGAGTTTGTTGTACCTTTAAGTATTTTAATGCAGAGGCTGTTGTTATGACAGGAATCACAAATGTTTTTTTCGAATGGCCGCTGCTCAGGATTGGTACGGCGAAGCATCCGGTTATGGAAAAGGGAAAGCCTTGTTTGCAAAACACGTCCACATGTCTGTTTATTTCCCTGAAAGTCGACAAACAGCAACTCACAGCTCGTTGTACTTTTATTTCGACCTGCGTCCGTTCATTGTGCCCAACGGAACCTTCTGTAGCACCTCTTGAACATTTGCTTGGGGCCTACCAATCGAATGATGTACAGGCATACCTCGTGTGTAAGGAGGGGTCATTCGGCAAAAAAGTAGAACGAAAAAGGGAAACGAAAAAGTGGAACGAAAAAGTGTAACCTGATTACCTAGGGAACGTCGTGTTTACTCGGCGTTATTGTTACCTAGGAAACGTCATCTGTTTACTTAGCATTATTACCTATAAAACATTACATTACATTACACAACATTTCATTACATTACCTTACCTTACATTACATTACATTACCTTACATTAACTTACCTTACATTACATTACATTTCATTACATTACATTACATTTCATTACATTACATTACATTTCATTACATTCAGCTACCACAGACCCATTTTAAGCGTAACTAATTCAAGTTAAATAAGCAAAGTCTTAATCAAACTTTACTCAATTGTAAAGCATATATAAAGTTAATATTTAGAATAAAGCCAATATATAAACTTCCTTTCCGTATAGACGTATTTACGTCAAATTCTCCGGAACAGTGGTTCCACTGACAACTTTTTTTGTTTACAAATTGAAGGTTTGTTGGCGACCCTGCGTCGAGCGAGTCTATCGACGCCATTTTTCCAACAGCATGTGCTCACTTCGTGTCTCTGTGTCACATTTTGGTAATTCTCGCAATGTTTATATTAGACATAATTCTATTGCACGCTTAATAGACTACAGCATAGAGTAAACATAACTTTTATATGCACTGGGAAACCAAAACATTCATGTGACTCGATTTATTGCTGTGGTCTGGAACCGAACCCGCAATATATCCGAGGTATTCCTGTATTAAATGCAAATTCCAGTATATAATATCCGGAGCCCCTTTCTCGGTGGATTGACACAAAAATTATCTGATCTTAATTTGCGTTTGATTTCGAAGTTTCTCAGCGTGAGCGTCGTATGAAATCGTAATGCATTTTACATTGTTCGTCTACAAAGTTACAGAATCAGTATGAGAGAGATTCCATTTCCATATTCACATTCAAAGGATTCAAGGTCCCGCGTTTATGCCTCGTTACTTCGACTGAGAGATTTTATCGAAACTCCGGAAATTCCTGGTGTCTTCAGCTAACTTTGTTACGTAATTCGCTGCGACTCGTTCTGGATGCGGCAAGGACGTCATTCACTTACTGCAGACTTGTTTAGATATGTCTGCTTGCACTTCATAACTCGTATATGCGTCTTAATCTCGCCTAGCGTGAGTTTACTCAGGTATTCCTGGAATAGTAAATTGAACAGACCTGACTGACAGTTATTGCCACATGGAACGGAGTCGTTCTTGAGAACCCAGAAATGACAAATTACCGTCTTCTTGTCCCATGACGCGACAGCCCGAGAGGAGCCTTGGCCTCGTCCCATGTG